AGCCCCGCCCCCTGGTGGGCTGAGCTGGCCTCTCTCTCTCTCTCTCTCTCTGTCTCTCTCTCTCTCTCTCTCTCTCAAATAAATAAAAATAAAAAAAAATAAAGTTTAAAAAAAGATGAAGAAACAGGTGACAACGCACAGTAAAACATGAGCTGGGAAATATGAGCATGGGCACATGAAAATCCACCATTAAGAGAAAGCCTCCAAACTAGCTGGAGTGTAGGTCCCAGCAGACAGCATGCTGACGGTTGCCCCCCAGACGCTGGCTTCAATTCTTGCCACCTCCTGCTACACAGGAATAGTCTTTACATCTGTCCTATATATGAAATTTTTCATCACGACATACTTGGGGGGATCAATAATGTTCTATTTACCTAATGAAAATATAGGTTTAAAAGATCCTCATAACAGCTTTAAAAAAACAACAAAAAAGGGAACATGGAAAAGAATTTAAAGCTCTACTAAGAACCTGTCTGAAAAATATGGGAGACACATACTCAGGTAATCTCAATGAAAATTCTAAATGGATTGTGTGTGTATGAGAGAGAGAGAGAGAGAGAGACAGAGAGAGACAGAGAGAGAGAGAGAGAGAGAGACAGAGAGAGAGACAGAGAGAGAGACAGAGAGAGAGACAGAGACAGAGAGACACACAGACAAAACAGAGAGAACGAGAGAGAGCTCAAATTTATTCTCCACATTCACAGGAAAGAACAAGTAATAACTAAGCAAAAAGAAATCCATGAATAGGAACTTGCCCTCCCAGCCACAGCAACTTGCTAACAATGAAGAAAGAACAGGATTTTAGGAGATGATGATAGGATAACTGGCTGCCTTGGAAAGAGAAAAATAAAAGCTAGGTTTTCACCCCTCCACAAAGGTGGAGTTTAGATAAATTAAATACTTAAATATCAGAAGTAAAATACAAAATACATTCAGTCTAGATGTGTAAAGGCTTGCATTTGATTCCCAGCACTACAAAAAACATAATACTTAGGGAGAAAATCTCGGTATCTAGTCATAGGGAACAACTTTTCCTGAGACTGGTCTCTTGATGCAGTCCAAACCAGCTTTGAACTCATATGTAGCCCAGGCTGGCCTCTGACTCTCAATGATCCTCCTGCCTCAGCCTCCTAAATCCTGGGATTATAGTCATGCACCAACATGCCTGGCATATGGGAAATAACTTTTAAAAAAGGACACCCACAGTACAACTCAAAAGTGGAAAATTAATGGACGTTCACATCAAAACTAAAGTTGTTTTTTATGGAATTTATATCAAGAATATTCAACTTAAGGCCAGCCAGATAGTTCAACAGATTAAAGCACCTGCTTAGACAGACACAGGGACCAGGGTTTGATCCCCACTATGCTGTGCCAACCCCACTTCCAGGGTGCGCTGGGTGATTGAGACTGGGCATGGTGGTGCACACCTGTAATCCCAGCACGTGGGAGGCTGAAAACAGGAGGATCACTGTGGGTGTGATCTGTGTAATGAGACCCTGTGCTAAATACATTAAAAAAAAAAAAAAAGAATATTCAACTTAGACCAACATGAAAAGAAAAAGCTCAAAAGAAAATTGGACAAAGAATGTAAGCAAGTCACAGAATACTGAAACAATAAATAATGACAGAAACTTTATAGAACTTAGAGAAATTCCAATGAAAACCATGATGTAACACTATATTCAACTACAATATGAACATTATAAAAGTGATAATACTAATTGCTGATAAAGCTGTAAAGCAATTCTTGGGTACTGCTGGTAGGACAGTCAGACTTGGGAAGCAATCTTCAAGTAAACAAGCCAGTGATCTCACCTTTGACTATTTTTCTGACAGAAACTACAAGTCTGAAGAGTATCAGATGCAAGCTGGTGAGATGGTTCAACAGACTAAGCGCTTGCTTAGGCGAGCACAGGGATCAGGGTTCAGTCCCTAGCACCACGTGCCACACGGCCCTGCCCCCGAGCTCCCTGAGCTGACACAGAGACTGGTTGTGGTGGCACATGCCTGTAATCCCGGCACTAGGGAGGCTGACAACAGGAGATTACCATGAGGCTGAGCTGCATAGTGAGACCCTGTACCAAATACATACTTTTTTTTTTTTTAAAGTACTAGACACAACAGAAATGTCCAACACTAGTAATAGATAAGTACAAGCAGGTATTCACTTCATGCAGGAGAAAAATAAACTAAATGTAGACAGAGTAGCTCTGACAGATTTTTAACTGAGCAATGAAATTAAGCTTTTTCCACATTATTCCATTATATAAATTAAAACACACAACCATACAAAAACTTTACATATTTTATAAGGATATATATTCAAGGGTGAACTCTCCACAGCAGAGTGATCTCTCTGTTGGATAAGAGAAAACATAGGATGGAAGAAGGAAGATAAACAGGAGGGCTGCAGGGCCCTTGCCCAGACAATGATAAATACGTCAAGAATTACCGAGTATGTTTTAACTAAGCTTTGTGCCTAAAACTAAAAGGAAGAACAGGAAGGAAACATCTCCACAGTGGCAGCATTACTGCCAGCAACGAAAGCCGCCTGAGGGAGGGAGCTCAGGACTGCGTCCAACTCCCCGCAAGCACAAAGGAAGCCAAGTGCAGCAATACTGCGAGGTTTACTTGCTCCACAAGACAGAGAGCATATGAAGTATCACCACTCGGTCAGCATGCAGGAACCAAGCTCTCAATCACCTAATGACTGCTCACAAATGAGCTGATCTCCAGTCGCCTAGAACTCACTCCTTCCATTGTACCACAGTGGTAACAGGAGTAGGCGTGGTAAAGAGGAGGTTGCCGAGGCAGAACGTGTCAAGTGAAGCCAGACATCAGAATTCTTTTTTTTTTTTTTTTGTGGAACCAGGGATTGAACTCAGACCCTTGCGCTTGCCAGGCAAGCACTTAAGTCTACTGAGCCATCTCCCCGGCCCTAACATCAGAATTCTGAGCTACCTATAATGAAAGTTTCACTCCAAGAATTCACTATGACTAGTAATCACACACCAAACAAAATGGAAAAGCTGCCAGGTGCAGTGGTGCACGCCTGTGATCCCGCCCCCAGCTGCTGAGGCAGGAGGATACTGAGCTCAAGGACAGCCTGAACGACACAGGAGATGCTTCCAATTAAAAGAAGCAAAGAGAAGTCTCCTACACTGCTAGTATTTTCTACTCAAACACTGAAGACAAAAAGACAGGAAGAAAGGAATGCCTGGAACATCTATAAAGATTTCATTCATCAATTACGGAGGACACTTACCGCGTGAAGGAGCTTTCAGAATACTAACCTTGCAGAGCCTCTCAAATCTTTAAATTCTACATTGAGAAGAGGCAAGAAGTTGCTTTTACAGAATGGACAAGTTGTGTTCAAATTGGAGTCATTTGCTGTCCATCCAGCCATAATTTCTTCATCATAGACTAGAGCACCACATGATCTACACAATGAACAACTTGACATCAAAACCTGAGAACAGGAAAATAAGGACACTGAGACCTCTGTAGTGAAAACGAATCTTAAAAGACCATTCTGGGACAGGTGTGATAGAGCATGCCTACAATCCCAGCACTGGGGAGGCTGAGGCAGGAGGATCGCTGAGTTCCAGGCCAGCCTGAATTACATAGTAAGACTTTGTCTCAAAGCAAAACAAAACACAGAACCCATTTTTTTCAGCTAAGCAAAATTTTTTATCTATTGACCAAATTTGGAGTAGTTATGCTACAGGCAAAGATACCAATTGGTTCATGGTTTGATATCACAAAATAAGATATCAAACAATTCAACAAAATGACATTTTATTATTCTGTCCACAAAGGTCTCACAGGATTTTTTTTAAAATGCTGTTGTATAAAATATGTTTATCATCACTTTAAAACGGGCAGCACAGAGATTTTTACCTCCATTGCACAATTCTGATAGATGCTAGACAGGCTGGTATTTTGAGAAGAACCATGGTCTGATTTTTCAAAGTCCTGTCCCTTTGTGCCTCTTGGAAGTGGAACTTCACCTAGAAAGGAGCAAATACAATAAGCAGATGCCTGGGCTAGCTGTGTCCAAGTATTTAGGGGGTAAGTATCATGATCTACAGCTTATTTTCAAACAATTCACTCTAGAAATATATAAAGATGTATGTGCATACACATAAATTTAATAAAAGTTAATTAAATCTAGGTAGAGGCTATGTAACTGTTAATTATACAATTCAACTTTTCAGGACAATTGGAATTTTCCCTTTACAAAGTCAGACAGAAAGAGATTATAGTTTTCTAGAATAACACCTAAGAATTTTCAATGATACATCCCAGAAATATTTAAAAATCTGGTTCAAACTGATCCATTCTGAGAAATAGTTAAAAAATATACATTTCCAAGGTCCCACCCCATAGACTTGAAAGTTTTAGCCTAAGGCTTAGACACGTGTTTTTTTTTGTTTTTGTTTTTGTTTTTGTTTTGTTTGTTCCTCGAACGCCTTCAGGGCACTTTTGGCCAGCGGCAGAGTTGTGAGGTTCGAACTCCAGCAACCTGAGGCTGACAGCTTTGTGGAAGCAGCCACTTAAAGGCCTGAGCTAGGGCCAGGCCCCCTTGTGTGTGTGTTTTAAATGTCTTTGGTATAGGGTATCACTACACAGCTCAGACTTGTAGTGATCCTCCTGTTTTCAGCTTCCCCAGTGCTGGGACTATAGGCATGCTCCACCATGCCCAAACTTGGTGGCCAGCTCAGCATGCCCAGGGGCAGGGCTGATGCAGTGGTGCCAGGGATCGTACCCGAGTCCCTGCACTTGCCTAAGCAGGTGCTTAGTATGCTGAGCTATCGCACCAGCACTATATATTCTTAATCAAATTTCTCAAATGATTTTGATTTACACTAAACCTGAGAACTAATGATACAACCCACAAATAAATACAACCGAAACAGAATGGGTAATTTTACTATTTTCAGAGCATACAGAATCAATAGAAAGATGTGGCTACTATAAAACTTTACCACCAGCACCACCTTCCTCCCAGACAGAGAGAGAAAAAGAGACCGAGACAGACAGATCCAGAGAAGAACAAAAGAATCTAACATCTCCACAAGTGGGGACTACGGGGATGGGGGGAATGATGGGCATTTAAATAGGAAGGAGAGGGACAGGCTGAGGGAGGGAAAGAATGGAAGGAAACGCCTTTCTCATACTTGCTGAATATTGCACTTTTCCAATGTCTCCGCTGCTGCTGCTACTGCCAAGGCTTGTGTTACTCTGGGTGAGCTCACTGGAGGCCAACCCGGAAATACTGGTGTTAGGAGACACATTCTCCCCCAACATATGGTCTTCCAGGCCAGCAGGGAAGCTGTAATCTCTACTCGTCTCTTCCTTGGATTGAAAATAGTAAAACTTCACATACATCAATCATTCTCCACAGAACTGTATCATTCTGCTCTTCCACAATTAAACACATCTTAAAACAAATCATCCCTAAATTTTCATAACCATTAATTCAACTCCTTTTTTTTTTTTTGCAACTGGGGATTGAACTGAGGCCCTTGCACTTGCCAGGGAAGCACTTATTCCACTGAGCCATCTCCCCGGCCCATAGAATAAGGACTTTTTTTTGCTCCTCCAATCGGCCCATGGAATAAGGTTTTGTTTTTTTCTCTGAATGCCTTCAGGGCAGGTTTGGCCGGCTTGAGTTGTGGGGGATCAAACCACAGCAACCTAAGCCTGACCACTTTCTTGAAGCAGCCACTTAAATAACTGAGCTAAGGGCAGGCCCCCTCAACTCCTTATTCATGAAACATCCTTTCCACACTCTGAAACCTAAAGAAGTAACACACAACCCCCTCAAGAAAATCCTGTGTTGCGCCAAGTGAGTTTGGATCTGGTCTCGACATTCAACACGCTGAAGTAAAGGAATGCCAGAAGCGCACTGTCTCCAACAAAATAGAGCAGGGGCTTCAGAGCAGCAAGCACACGGTGATCTCGGTTCTCTATCAGGCATTAGACATGCAACTTTATAGAAATTACTTAACTTCTCTAACTTTCAATTACGTAATTCAAAAAACATGGATGAGACTGTTCAAGTACGGTTGCTCTGAGAATATCACCTGGGAATTCAATTATCCACAACTTCATTAACATTAGAAGAAAAAATAGGGATAAGCTTCCAAATACTAGCTCTTTCCCCCCCAACACTAGCTCTTAATTACTATAGTTTATGGACTATTTAGACAGAAAATGTTTTAATAAGCATTTTCTTTGTTTCATTTTTCTTTAAAGAGAAAAGCTTGTATTTTCTTTAATGTAAAACTACATTAGATGATTTTTTAAATACAGATAGGAAAAACAAAAGACACAAAAACAGAGTATAATCAAAATCTTGATCTATCCTACTCATTCAAAATATGCATTTATAATCATATAACAAGCTAAATTAGGATACTGGGGGGTGCTTTTTGCTTTCAAGGGAAAGACAGGGTCTCACTACGTAGTTCAGTATGGCCTTGCATTCACTATGTAGTGCAGGCTAGCCTCAAACTTCCAGGCCGCCTTCTGCTTCAGCCTCCAGAATGCTAGGAATATGGGTGTGCACCACCATGTTTAGCTAGGATACTGCTTTTAACCTATATTTCTCATGTAATTTTTAAAAATTTCTCATCTTTTTGAGACAGGGCATCACTATGCAGTTTAGGCTGGCCTTGAGCTCACTTTGTAGCTCAGGCTGGTCTCAAACTTCCAACAATCCTTCTGCCTCAGCCTCCTGAGTGCTGTGATTACAAGCACAGGCCAGCACACCCAGCTTCTCATGTAATTGAAGAGCAAATCTTCCCCAAATTTATTTTCTTTTGCTTTGTTAAATTATTGTAAACTAATCCATTTTACTGATGTACAGTAACATTTAATACATCCCATTGATTAAGCACTGAAAATACTTTACATTTTACATAAACTGGTGATTCTCTTAGGCTCATATTTTTACTTCCTTAGATTAAACTCTGTATAAAATGTATACACATGATTTCTACTTTCCTCCTTCAGCTACAAATACTTGCCAACCATGTCTTATTTACCCTCTGCCAGGCCCTGCTACTGGGGCCAGGCTATAGCAATGAAAAGCTAAGCCACAACTCCCTGGAACTGACAGTCGAATATTCCAGTCCAACTGACTATAACAAGTATTTTTAACATTAGCCAATCAAATTTCAAAAATAAATCACCCTTTTCTTCATCAAAATGCCAAGTTAACATACTTCTGGAGTTATTCTGTCTTTCCGTGATGATTGTAAACCCTTAATACACAGTGCAGGGTTGGGATTACACTTTAGGGGCAGCACACTTGCGTGCACAGGCCCTGGGCTCAATTTCTAGCAACATCCACATGCACGAGTGTACACACACACACACACAGTCTGTCGTAATACTCAATATTGTACTTTTAAATGAAGTAGTACTTTGCATGTAATTTTCCTTCAAATGGCATACAAATCATATTTGTGAAATTTCTTTTCATGCTTCTCTACTTTTTATTTAGAGCTTTAGCAATCTAAAATTACATTATCTTAAAAGCCCATGATGATTTAAGCATTTTGTTTGCCTATTTGTCTGTGAGACAAGGTCTAACCATGTAGTTCAGACTTTGAACTCACTTGAAGAAGGCTGGCCTTGAACTTGAAAAGATCCTCCTGCCTCAGGCTCCCTGGTGCCACCACACCGGCTTTCAACCATGTTTCTCTACACTATTCTCTCAAATACACCATTTTGGGAGTTGTCCTGCTAGCTCAGTTAGTAGAACATTGAGACGCGCAAATGTGCCATTCTGCAAGTCTACTGCTTTTACCATTTCAAAATGCAAATCCAGTCATCAAAACTCAACGTATTATACACTCTGCTCTTTCTGGACAGTCCCTGATCTGGGCTCCTTTTCGGTCTTTAAAGTCTTACTACTCATGAGTTGTGCTACCCTGGGCAATTAATTAACCTCTCTGAATCTAACTCATCTATAAAATCTAATCCATCTATAAAGATAATCCTATTTCAAAAAAAAATCCTATTTCATAAGGCTGTTATGAAAATTAAACATATACATATTGTCTATTCATATACAATACATAGCTTATACTAAAACCCAGAACATACCATTACCAGCAAACATTTACAGACATCTGTCTTTTCTACAATAAAGTACTCTACTACTATACAATTCTATACATACTCTAGATCCATAAATTTCATACTGCATTAGAAGTATTTTTCTGGATCTGGGGAGATAGCTTGGTGGTCTACGTGCCTGCCTGACAAGTGCGAGGACCTGGCGTTGATCCCCGGTACAGCATGCCGTGCCTGCCCTGGAACCACAGGCGCGTGGAGCCAGCCACCAAGACCAGGCATAGTGGCGCACGCCCGTAATCCCGGCACTGGGAAGGCTGAGATAGGAGAATCTCTACAAGTCCAAGCTGCATAGCAAAACTCTGTACCAAATAAATAAATATACGTTTTTTTTTTTTTTTTTTTTTTTTTTATTTATTACATTTATTTATTGTGTGTGTGTGTGTGTGGCCAGCTCAGCCCACCAGGGGGCGGGGCTGGCTGGCATATGGTGCTGGGGGATTGAACCGCGGTCCCTGTGCTTTGTCAAGCTTGTTGCAAGTAGGTGCTTTAGACCACTGAGCCATCTCTCCAGCCCTAAATATACGTTTTTTAAAGAAGTATTATTGTTCTGTTAAGCAAAGAAAATTTCACACTATTCATATTCATAAACAGACCTAGTGATTAATTCTATTTACAATGATTTCTGAAAGACCTAATCCTTTTTGTAATGAAGTATGAAATCTATGGATTAAACTACAGAGTAACATTATATACCAAGGAGATAACAGAAGAATTATTTAAAAACGTTAAGTGATATGTCATTATTATTAATTTCAAATACTTAATTGTAGTAGTTTCAAGAAATAAACTGTTTTTTAGTTTAGAATGATCTATGGGATTAAAAGTAATCCTAATAGTCTATTCCTACATAGAAAAGAGGCAAAATAGGTGCGAAGTTTTAAAATTATAACCAACTTTGCCAGCAATCTCTAAATTTTATATGACACACATAAAGCTCCGACACCATCCACAAGACGGAGCACACATGAAAATTCCTACCTCGTCATCTGAGTAGCTGTAGGCAGACGCTACGGCCCCCCACACTTTACTGGCTGCGGTCGCTGCCTGTTTCACACTAGATCTGAGGACCTCTATCCGGGGCCCTGAGAGGATGTTATCCAGCTTCAGCCCTGACAAAGAATTCACTACAGAACCCAGCGAGCCGTGCGAAGAGCGCATCAGCGCTGATAAGGAAGGTGAGCGATCTTTGTAAGTTCGATGTGGAGTTTGGTGCTTGAAGCGTGCAGTGAAAGTTTTAGATTTGGACACAGCAGGGGAGCAGTCCTCACCATCAGGACCTTCTTGTGCAGGTGGGCCGTGATCTGAAGGCAGGCTTGACCTCCTCTCTAACGGGTGGGCGAATGCAGCGCTACCTCCAGAGTCCCTGCCTCCCTCTCCGTGCAGCTCCATACTGGAAGACTTATTACCCAGTGGGCTCTGCAGGTTCATGTAGTTTTCAATTTCATCAGCCAAGTTCCGTGTGATAACTGGGGAGAACAACTTCTCCTCACCATCAGGAGTTTTCTCTTTTATACATTCTGTGGCTAAAAGAGACAAAGGATCTAGTCCAGTTTCCACATCCTCCCTCTCGACAGCTTTAGCAACACCACACAGACTGCTGCTCTTACACATTCGACCTTCAGGTCCTGTTTTCAAGGTTTGGGACTGACTGCTGCTACCGCCGTCTTTGCTGCCACAGGTGGCCTGGGTCAAAGTAGTCTCAGCCCCATGGTCAGCAGCCACAGGCTCCAGGGGCTCCTGGCTCTCCTCAAGCAGCTCTAGTGCAGCCGGGGCCCTGTGCTCAGAGTCCCAAGTGCTTTCAGACCCACAGGTCCTAGAGCCCGTCAGAGGACAGCCAACGTTCTCACAGCTATGCATTCTTGCAGTGCGGCGTGGAGAAGCTTTGGTGCAGGTCAGGGCTGCGGTGAGGATCTTGGCATCCGCCCCCATCATGACAGCCGCCTCACTGGAGTTCAGATCCAAACTGCTCTTCTTACGTAACATGCCTGCTCGACTTTCAAAACTAAAACTACAACTTCTCTCTGCAAAATGCTTCTGTCTTTTCTCTCCTTTGTCACTATTCTTAAGATGAGCATCTTCATCAAAGACTGTATTTTCAAATGGATTTTGAGTAGAAAATAGCACATTTGATGTATTCCCTAAAAGGAAAAGTCAAGTATTAAGGATGATTCTCTATTTTCCAGTGTAACTTACAAAAAAAGGTTTATTTTCCTAAGTGCGAAAATGATACACATTAACAATAAGATTCATCCCGCCACACCACTCAAAATTCTAGCTCAGTGGCGTTTAAGTGTCTGCCCGCCAAGCACAATGTCCTGAGTTCCATCCCCAGTTCAAAAAAAAAAAAAAATCTAAGAGAAGAGTAAGAAAAAAAAAAAATCTAAGAGAAGAGTAAGATTCACTGCATGCCTATAATTCCAGTACTCAGGAGGCTAAGGCAGGAAGATTGTCAGGAGTTCAAAGACAGCCTGGGCTACATAGCAAGACTTTGTCTCAAAAAAAGAATAAGGTTCAGAAAGTTTAAAAGGCACACACAGGGGCCAGTGAGCTGGCTCAGTAGAATAAGCACTTGCCTTGCAAGCACAAGGGCCTGAGTTCAAGCCTTGGTTCCATCAAAAAAAAAAAAAAAAAAAAAAAAAGAAGACACACAGAAAAAAGTAACCCCAAGAAATCTATTCAGCTCTGCTTTTACCTCCTGTGTATCTATGTACCCATTAAAAATCATACAATAGTTTGACTTATATCATTCACTAAGTATTTATTCATAAATAGGGGTCTAGTCTTATTTTTCATATTTTAAGGGGCATTAAAAATATTCTGTGTTGAAAATATAGAAAAATATTAGCAGTAGTCATGATGGTGCTGGCATGGTTAGAGGTTCATTTTTTTTCTTTTAAAATTTCATGTAATGTAGTTTCTCACTTGTGTAATGAAAAATATATGAGATTAAAAATTAACAATTCTAAAAAAAAAAAAAATGAAAAAAAAATATTCTGTGTTAAATAACAGACCTCAATCAAAATAATCTCTAGCGTAACTTTCATTTAACCAGTTCAGCAAGCACTTGCCGGACAGCTGCAGATGTAGTCCTGTGGCAGCATACCTGCCTATCATTTGTGTGGCCCTGGGTTTGAGCTCCAATACCACAAAATAAGAAACCAAATGAGTATTTGCCAGAAATCTATACAAATCAATGTGTAATTATGGAGAAAGTAAAACTGTCATAGCCAAAGCACTACCAGTCCAAAATAAAAACTTGGAACATTCTAAGGTTTATAAAATATTCAGTAAACATTTTTGTTCATATATATTTACCTGAATGCCTACTAGTAGTCACCACATGTGGTGCAAGAAAAAACAATGGCAAACAGAAGAGACCTGGTCTAGCTGTCAGAGCGCACTACTGTATTAAGGGGCGCAGTGCTACAGAGCCTTCAGAGCCCCCCTCCTGTGGCGGTGGAGCGGGAGTATTTGTTCACAGCAATGCGACTCTCTCGCTTCCCTTTCTCTAGTGACAGGCACTACCCTGCCAACATGGAGGAAGGGATCATATCATTCCTTGTTTTTGAATACATGGGGCCTTACTATACCTTCACTGCCTACAATGAAAATACACAAACCAAAACCAGTAACTGCGTATGACAGGGAAGACATTCTAAAGAAACCTAAATCGCCACTGCATAACAAATTAACTACAGGTTATCCCTTTGTGTCCATGGGAAATTGGTTCTAGGTTCCTTGCAAATACTAAAATCACAAATGCTCAAGTTTCTTATATAAAATGGCACAGCATTCGCTACATAACATATATCCTCTTGTATGCTTTAAGTCATCTCTAAACTGGGCATGGTGGTGCACACCTGTAACCCCAGCAGTCAGGAGACTGAGGCAGGAGGATCACTGTGACTTTGAGACCAGCTTGGGCTACAAAGTGTGCTCAAGGCCAGCCTAAGCTGCATAGGAGACCCTGTCTCAAAAAGACAATCAACCCATCAAATCATCTCTAGACTTAAATTATCAAAAATAAGTAAATGCAAATAAATCTTTACATATTGAATATAGATGTGATTCTTTTCTAATATATGACCCAAGGTCTGCCAGATGGGGATCCAGAGAGTCAGGGATATTTTCTGGAGGAACAGGGCGCTGCTGGGGATGTAACCCCAGGAGCTCTGAGCTGTAACTGCAACTCATCTCAATTTACTTTGAGACAGGGTCCCGTCCACATGCCCAGGCAAGGCTTCAGCATGCAGTCTTCTTCCCAGCCACCTTGGTAGCTGGGAGCACGGCTGTATCTTTCAGTTACAACACCCCGTTTCTTTAGCACACTTACAGGAACCAGACACCTTTCTGACATTTTAGCATGTGTGCTATAGTTAACAATTTACTAACAGTAAAGACAAACGTGTACTAATAGGTGTCTATTCTCAATATTTAGTAACCAATATATAAAAATCTCACCTGTACTACTTTTCCTGTTGCTGACATCAAATACACTAGATGGGACTTTCACAATGCTGCTGCCCCAAGAGGGGGGGTCAGAAGGACTCTGAGACTCCAGACTGGGCTGTGAAAGTTTCACTTTAAGAGCAAAGACATCACACACCTCTAGAAAAAAAAAAATTTGATATTATTATTCTTATTTCTGACAATACTGAAAACCATATATAGATTTTTTATACATATGTGTAGTTTTAAAGTGGAGAATATATAAGTATTTTACTGATTTCCCATGTCTGGTTTATTTTTTATCATGTGTTACCAGTCCGGACTTAAATATTTCAGCATTCAATAATCCTAACTTGAGTGAATCACTTAAGTCTCTGACCTTCCCTATAGCTCTATTTCTGATCGTTCAGCAAGTAGGAAAGGGGCTTGTTTCTATATAACGCTAAGACACAGGAGTTTGTGTAAGAGAACAGACGGAACATCATATTACCACAAAGCAACATGTTCCTCCATATTCCCACCAAATGATTGTAACAGTTTCTTTCTTTCTTTTATTTTTCCTTTTTTTTGTCTTCTTGAGACAAGGCCTAGATATGCAGGTCAGGCTGATCTTGAGCTCACTTGGTAGCCCTGGCTGGTCTTGAGTTTGCAACAGTTCTCCTGCCTCAGCCTCCCAAGTGGCAGGATTATAGGCTTGTGCCACCATGCTTGGCTATAACAGATAATTTATACCTCATGGATCCCATTTAAAAAAAAAAACAAAACAGGAAAATGAAAGAGATTTTAAAATCACCAATGAAAAACATTTACTCACTATTTGAAGGGCTTCTAGTGAAAAAGCATTTTATTTATTTATTTTTTTTGAAAAAGCATTTTAAATAAAAGACATTTAAATACAGGTGTGATGACTCAGAAGTCTGGTCTGGGGCTGTTACTCGGCAACCATATAAGTTCAACAAATGCAGACCTCAATGGATTGTATTTTCCTCCAAATAGAGCGACCTACATTCTCTACAGGCCTGTGAAATTCTAAACTTCAGAGACTATCAAAATCTGCCATAATAGATATGTAGTATCTATGAGATAGACCTTACCTTTCTGAAAAGTATCATTAAATATCGAATAAGATGAACTTTAAATTGTTACACACATTTTTCTAAATAGAACTCAAATATCAGTACACAACCTTCTTTTCCCACTTTTGCTTCAGTTATCAGTTCTGGTGCTGCTGCTTCTTCAGGTACATGAAATCCGTCCTTTGTAAGTTCATCCTTAGACCCATAGCCTTGGTCAGACTGGCCACCTGGTAAAAAGAATACAGCTTGGGAGACAGAGGCAAGACCATTCAAAGTTTGAGAATGCCTTGGCTACATAGCAAGACCTCAGCTTCAAAAACAAACCAACCAAAACAATAACAAGAACAAAACCCAAACAGGATCTTGCTCTGTAGTTCAGACTGGCCTTGAACTCAAAGAGATCCTCCTGCATCAGCCTCCAAAGTACCGAGGTTACAGGCGTGCACTACCACATTGGATCACGCCTGACTTCCCTTGCCAGTTTTTGTAACATCCTCCCTCATTCAGACTCTCCGGAGTGAAGCCTTTCTATGTCTCTGGTTATTGTCCTAAACCTGCAGTCATCCCAATTTCCAGGAAAAGCAGTCCTGAGGATCGCCTCATGCTAAGGTCACTCACTTACCCCCAGCAGGAAAAAACAAAAAAAAAAATCAAGCATCTCATGGCAACGGACTGTTACCTAAGCCATAACTGTTACCTAAGATTTCTAGTCATCCTCCCAGAACCAGTTCAGACACTCCTACTCTGACCCTGCAAACTTCTTGCCCTTGTCTTTGTCCTCCTTATCTATAAAACCACAAAGTTTCTGTCTGCACCTCAAAGGTGGATCACCAACCTTTTTACCTGTCCTTCCCAGCCTTGGCCATGCTGATTTAACTCCTTTTCTACTCCCTCCCACCTCCAAATACAGGCTCATAGTTTTTTTAAATCCAAAGAAAATTGCACTGATCAAGCCAGGCATGGTGGCCCATAGTTGTAATCCCAGCACTCAGGAGGCTGAGGCAGAAGGATCACTGAGAGTTCAAGGCCAGCCTGGGCTATACAGTGAGTTCATGGCCAGCCTGAATTACATAGCAAAACCCTGTCTCAAAGAACCAAAGTGCCCCCTCAACAAAAACCAGAAAATTCTACTGATTACACAATTAAAAGAAAAGAAAAAGGAACATTAGGGCTTACAGGCACAGGTAACATTTTAAAAGCAGTGGTAAGCAAGCATCAGCAGAAAGAGGAATATCAAAGATCAAAGACCATTCTACATTTGAAAGTAGTAAGCTTTAATTTCCTCATCTGTAAAATGCAAGAGATGTGAGCAAGATATTTTCAAAGGTAACAATCTACAGATACTCTCCAGTGTCTATAGATTACTACAGAAAAGGCAATGAAAGTGAGGAAAAAGGTAATGAAAAAATGATAAATTAGAAAATAAAAATGCTTATTTACAAAGAATGGAAGAAAACAGGATAAAAAAGAGAAGAAACTTCATTAAGGAATTTACTGTGCTCTTGTTTTGCTGATATATTTCTTCATATTTGAAGAGCTGAGTCAACAACATGGAGCTAAAACTGAATACAAATGAAGCCAACTGTATTTCATATGAAATAATGTAACACTGAAAGAGTCACCAGAAAACTGGTGTGGGTAACTTTTGAGTATTTATTTCTCACAGGGCATGGTTATGATAACTCTAAAATTATCTCATGTATCTTGTAGGACTAAGCAAATAAGTAACATTATGATGCTGTTGGTAGACAATATTTTTATTTTTTGATAATATTTTACTAGATGGGCTAAGATAGACCTTTTCTCAGTAACAGGAAGTGGTCCTAGGGCTTCATACTGAATTATATTCCCAACATTCTTGTATCTTCTATTTTGAGTTAGGGTCTTGCTAACATGCCTAGGATGGCCTTGAATTTGCAGTTCTCCTGCCTCAGTCTCCAGAGTACCTTGGATCACAAGCATGCATTACTACAACCAGCAGGTTTTGGTTTTTGAATGGATTAAGGAAAGGTAAAGAATCTTGTTTTGATTTGGAATCAGAGGTACTGTATTTTTAACACACACACACACACACACACACACACACACACAGAGAGAGAGAGAGAGAATCCAGTTTTATTAAAAGTCTAAAAGGAGTTAACACCTGGTATCAATGAATACAACTCGGACCCAGATCCAATCTCTAAAATCTATTCCTGCCAGGCCTGGTAGCACACACTCATAATCCAGCACTCATGAGGTGGAAGAAGGATTGCCACAGATTTGAGACCAGCCTGGGCTATACAGTGAGCTGAAGGTCAGCCTGAACTACGTAGTTAGACCCTGTCTCATAAATAAGCAAATAAAATAAAATAAAATCTACACCCTGTTAAAGAAAATGTAAGACCCTTAAAGAAATGGCTAATTGCAGAGCCGAGTCAGGGAAAGTAAAAAACAAGCCAAGCAGTTTGCTGCAGCAGAAAGGAAATGCTTGTAAGCATCATGTAGTACACCTACAGGACACAGGAACCCATGTCAAGGAGCCCCACTGGCCAATACTGGGATAATTTAGGATCCAATAGGGACAGTATTAGTTTATAAATTCACTGAGTAAAATAGGAAACCATTAATTTCATGAAAAACTAGCAAAGGGAAATTCTTTTATACATCAGAATGCCATCATCTTTTTTTTTTTTTTTTAATTTGTGTGTGTGTGTGTGTGTGTGTGGCCAGCTCAACCCACCAGGGGGCAGGGCTGGCTGGCATGTGGTGCTGGGGGATCGAACCGCAGTCCCTGTGCTTTGCTAAGCTTGCTCTGAGTAGGTGCTTTAGACCACTGAGCCATCTCACCAGCCCCAGAATGCCATCTTCTAAATGTGAAAGTAAAACACCACTCTGAACCATCACAGGAAAGTCAGGGCAACCTCAAGGGACACCAACCTAAAAGCATGGTAAAGAAGTCTTGGGGCTCCTCACAGAGTTTACCGTCTTCAGGGGGTAAGATGCTAACAATATGCAGAGAAACTGGGTGACACTGAGATCAAAACTATGGCCGTGAGAGAGCGACATGCTTGTGTCTAGGCCTGGACACACTCAGAAAGAGACAACAGTGCTTCTGTAGTACACAGTCGCATTCATAACTTAAACTAATTGTGCTATTACACAATTCCAAATAAAGCAATGTTCTACAAAATAACCAAAATGGTTTCTTCACAAAGGTGAAGGTCATTAAAAGGCTGATGACTCTGGCAAAGTTAAAAATACTAACTGGTGGGGATTTTTTTTGAGAAGAATTTATTGGGGAATAGGAATAGCTCCCGAGAGACAGGAGGAATCCTGAATGAATTACCCTGTTGCCCCCTATTTTTAAGCTTGCCTCATTATGAAAGCAATTTGACCCTTTAACGAGAAACAGTCTCCTAGCAATTCCTAGTAATCCCAGTCCATAGGTGAAGAACCTTTGAGCTCTTTCTTCAGTATTCCCGTTTAGGCCCCTCCCCCGTGCTGTGTTGGTGGGTTGTCTTCCAGCCTCAGCCTCTCGGGTGGCGGAGGTTCTGCTGCGTTGCTGCCCCAGAGCTAGCTGTTTCTTGGGCCGTACAGGTGCTGATGTTCTGTCCGTCCCGGTCTCTGCTGGCCCACGTTTAGGCTGCACGCTGCACTCGGGGTTGTCTTGTCGATTCTCGGCTTGTTGCTCAGTGTTGACTCACTCAGTGGGGATTAAGGTACAACAAAAAACACTAGAACTGACAGAGCTGGAATATAAACTATAGATTACGACAGTATATCAGTATTTTGCTAAATTTAGTTACTGAAAGAAAATAAGACTGAAGCAGCAAGAGGATAAAGAGCAAAGTGTATGTAACCTGTTCATACGATCTAGGAAAAACAAATGTGTATGTACCCAGGATGAAAATGTGGAACACTAAATGCAGTGAATCTAGATAAAAGACACACAAGAACTTTCTCAATTATTCTTTTAATTTTTCTGTATGTTTGAAACATTTCAAAATAAGATTTCTAAAAAATGTGTTTTGGCTTTAATTTAAAAAAAATAAGAATAGTTATAAAGTTATGAAAGACATAAAATACGCTAGACCTTCCACTTTCTACAACTTATAACAATGCCACCTAGACTTTAGGTTTAGGTTTATCATGTAACAAAATAATTAAACATCTCTGGGTATTACTATTTAAAGTATCTGATCTCAGTGTTTTTTATCAGCCCTCTCACAAGGTCTGGCACGTTACATACACAGTGCCAAGAAATGGACAACAGATTGGGAGTGCAGTAAACAGATTAAAACCAGCTATGTCCCAAATAAGCTGAGTGAGTCAACACTGAGCAACAAGCCGAGAATCGACAAGACAACCCCGAGTGAAGCGTGCAGCCTAAACGTGGGCCAGCAGAGACCGGGACGGACAGAACATCAGCACCTGTACGGCCCAAGAAACAGCTAGCTCTGGGGCAGCAACGCAGCAGAACCTCCGCCACCCGAGAGGCTGAGGCTGGAAGACAACCCACCAACACAGCACGGGGGAGGGGCCTAAACGGGAATACTGAAGAAAGAGCTCAAAGGTTCTTCACCTATGGACTGGGATTACTAGGAATTGCTAGGAGACTGTTTCTCGTTAAAGGGTCAAATTGCTTTCATAATGAGGCAAGCTTAAAAATAGGGGGCAACAGGGTAATTCATTCAGGATTCCTCCTGTCTCTCGGGAGCTATTCCTATTCCCCAATAAATTCTCCTTCTCAAAAAAAAAAAGGGGCAAGGGGATGAGTCAAGGGAGTGGTCTCATATTGCCACCACTATTCCTGGGAAACTGGTTTCATCCCACAAAATTACTTACTTTTTTTTTTCAATACATGAAGCCCATTTCTTCCACTGTATTAGGAAAAATTACTGGAGGAAATAAAATAAGTAGCTAAAATCAAAGTCTCATAAATACCCTATCTATAAACATGGCTGAAAATTTAAAAATTACAAACAAGATTTAATCCTATAGCCTAATGTTGACTTCAATGGCTTATACATATGCCTACTGTTATGGAAGGTAGTTTTTAAGCACAAAAATTCAGCAGAACAATTTTAGAAAGCAAGGAGTACCTCTGTAGCTGGAATAATGAATTCCTCAGTGACCATAACATTATATAGAGCAATGTTACAAACCAACCTCAAAATAAAAATGATAGCAGGGCATTTTTTAAAATAAGATAAATATGTTCTGCAAACTGGCCCCAAAATGCTACTGGATATTTTCACTGTAGACTGCTTATGACAGGGGACAGATCTTTGGCACAAGGGAAAGGGAGGAAGTGATGGGGGGAGGGGAGTGAGCAAGAGGAAGAGGAGAAGAAAGAAAAAGATGTGCTGTGTGCAGGCACCGCCACCGCCCCACAGGGACTGCAATTGGCAGGTCTGCAAGCATACATTAACAGAAATAACAATTAGAAAAAGGGGGAAAAAGACTGTATGATTATCGAAGAAGAAAAACACCAAGAAACAGTATTTGTTTTCCATTTGTAGTAATACTTAAAATACAACAAAGTATCTTTCCCCCACCCGTGTGTCAGTAAAAGTTAACCTAATAAATGGGAAATTACCTGAAGTGGTTAATATTCAAAGGTAGAATTAATGCACACGTGTTCCATAGCTTCACGTCATAAAAGTCTGTCTGCACCCACACCATGACAGCCAAGGACAAACGCAGCACCAAGAAACAGCACAGAGCAAAAGCAGAGCAACAAAGAGCAGAGAAAAAGGAAACTTCAGTCATCGAGACAAGTCCTTTGGATGAAGCACAGGAATTAGAACTCTTTTTAAAGGAAGAATTGAGATGTTAACGACAACAGAGAAACAACATGAAACAGGAGGATGTGCAACACACAGGTATCTGCCCAACATTCTACACTTTACACTCATTTCTATCCTCAGAGGACAGAGGTAATGCCCATGCTTATGCATATACAAGGAACTTCTCAGATTTTAACATACATGTACAATATGGCTTTTTTTTTTTTTTTTTTTTTTTTTGCGGAACCGGGGACTGAACTCAGGCCCTAGCGCTTGCCAGGGAAGCGCTTATTCTACTGAGCCATCTCCCCAGCCCCTACAATATGGCTCTTAAAGTAACGGAATACATTTTTTTCTCATGCTGCCTGACTTATGTTCTTCCTTCTTTAATATTCATAACCTCTTAATGAAAACAAGATTTATTTATTTATTTATTTTTTTGTGGTACCAGGGCATTGAACTCATGACCTTGTGCTTGCCAGGCAAGCACTTTTTCCACTGAGCTATCTCCCCGGCGAAAACAAGGTTTGTGGGTAGCAATGCTAATGGTCAAGTTCATTAACAATTATACCCTTTCACCCACTGATGAACAAATCAGAGAAGTCCCATGATACAGCACTCTGACAGTATTCCAAGTTAATTTTATACTATCAGAAATTTTAAAAAGGTACAGAAGTATGATTTCCTCCCTTATTAACATATATTATTTTAAAAGTATTTCCTAACACACAAATTCAAGAAGTATAAAACTTTTTGGAAAATAAAAAAGCAAGATTTAACATGACAGTAAGTGAAGGACTGATAACGCCCAGATGTCAGTACCTGTGCTAGAGTGATTCCCAATGGAATCAAGCCTGAGGAGGTCTCCCACAAGGGCTGTGTGCTCCCCACTGTCCACACTGCCGTGGCTCCCTGTGTCCCCATCACTTCCACCTGAAGCCTGTGGGGGTGCTGACAAGGAGGACAATGCAGCTCAGTGACGCAGGCAATGATAATGTGAACGTAAACCAGGACACCCACAGTTCACATACAAAAGTTTCTAAATTTCTAAAAATTATAAAAACAAAAATAATTTTGAACTATGGTGCCCTGTCTTTAGTTGCATATGAAAATATCAACCAGTATTTCATTTATGGTTTTTATTTCACACAATTAAAGCTTCCTATATCGATGAAGCTATGGTTCAAAGACAAACTCTCTCTTCAGTCACACACCTTACCTGATAGTGAAGCGACCTGTGACTTTCGCATGGTCTTTTTAAGTGGCTGCCTAAACTGGGCCAAGCCACGTAGCACGTTCCGTACCTTTGTCCATAAGAAAACACCACTGCGTGTGCTTGTAGGCCATGGGCTCTCCAAAACTACCTAAGGTCAAATAAAGGCAAAAATAAATGTTTGTTATGAACATTTGATTTACAAAATAGCACACACATAAACAGGTTTGTGTAAACAAACATGGTTTTTTGGTGGCGGCTATTAGCATTTCAAGCCTTCATTCAAAAACACCAGTAACAGACTCAATACGCAGGGACATATAAAGAATTATACCAGTCAACTGGTAGATACAAAAATGTTCAACGTCACTAATCACAGCAACGCAAAACCTAAATCTAATTTCACATGTTACAATTTGTATTATAAAAAAGAAAGATGATAAATGTTGGTAAGGATTTGGAGGAAAGGGAACCTCATATACTTGGTCAAAAGTGTTAGGATAGCCCAGTGAGGGAGAACTTTTTACAGCTTTCAGTGATAACAAACAGCCAACCGCAACACACCTGCCATAGGTTCACCACTGATACAGTCATGATAGAAACCAGGATGGAGGGAAAATCAGACTACCACGTAATACAGCAATCCTACTCCTGGATGCGTACCCAAAGGAAGTGAAATCAGCATTCTAAACAGATCTCCCATGTTCCCTGCAGCACTGCTCACAACAGCCAAGATATGGAATCAACCAAGTGCCTATCCAGGATGATGGATAAGGAAAACGTAACACCGCTGGGCATGACCATGCATGTCTGTAACCCTGGCTAATTTGGAGGCTGAGGCAGGAGGATTGTAAATTTGAGATCAAGAAGAAGGACAGGAGGAAGTGGAGAACTATTCAGCTCTAAATATGAATGAACCAGGGGGGCATTAGGTTAAGTGAAATAAAATACACACAAAAAGACAAATACTGCAATCATTTTACCTAAACATGAAATCTAAAGCAACTGAAAAACTCACTCACAGAAAAAATGATGAGGGTCCTGGGAGATGTCTCCCCAGCCCCAACAATCTGGTTCACAAACAAGATCATTTGCCAAAATTTTGCTTCCATGTGCAAACTGCATTGGATGCCAAATACAGCCATGGCCACCTTCCCTGCACAAACACAAAGGCATCCTCCCCCAACTGTTCATGAACTGAGGCACCACTGTGTGCATTTGTTCTGGCTTTTCCATTGTTTGAGATAGTTTCAGTATATAATTAAGGCTCATCTTGAATTTGTGGTTCTCCTCTTCTGCCTCCCAAGTGGTGGGATAACTGAACTGTACCACCACACCTGGCTTATACTTGTTTTCTTTTTAACTTTTTGCTTTGCTTTTCAATATTAAGAAATGAACCTAGGCCTTCACACTGGGATACACTGTCAACCCTATTTTTTTTTTTTTTTTTTTTTTTTTTTTTTTTTTAGGAGACTTGCAGTATATTGTTCAAATTAGGCTTGAACCTTTGATCCTCACTTATGCTTGCAGAAGGCTAGGATTACAGGTGTACATACTAAAACATCTAGCAAACTAGACAATTTTGGTTAAGGGAGAAAAAGTTATGTTTCCCCAAATTTCTTCTAAGAAAACGTCTGTGAATAAGTGTTATAAAAATTATCACCCTTAATAAGCAGCATATATTCCTAGTGTCAACCCTACTTACCTTATTATAATAACCATAGGTAATAGCATTTGGCTTTATCTTAGCAGTTTTCATTTCAAATAAGACTCTCACTGCTAAAACAGGGTAACCCCAGAGTCCACAAAGCTGCATTACTACTCGATAGCACACCTGACAAGAAATCCAAGGCATTCATAGTTAGCAGTGTCTGACTTGAGATTTTTTAAAGACTTTCAATTCTTTTTATAAAAATTTTAAGTGCTACTTTACCTTTTATTCTCATTTGAGCATCTTAGAAAATTATTTTAAAAACTTACTGATCAGCATTATTACTTCACAAGAGACCTACACGATCTTGATCCCTTTGCTTGAGTAAGTCTATACATAGAATGACTGTTGTCTATCCCGAACTTGAGAAAGAGTTCATTTCTACAGTCAAGTATGACTAAAAGAGCTCCATCTCTAATCACCTTGCTTTATATTCTATGTCAAAATAAGTACAGCTAGCAGCTCCAGGGTGCTTGTATAAAATGTTACATACATTGTAATATTATTAGCAAAGATTCTTCATTTTAAATTCTAATCAGGTATCAGATATTATTTATAGTTATCTTAGTACCAAAAATAATTTCTAAAGCAGAAAACAGCAAAGAAAAAAGCTAAATAAGTGCCTTAGTTTCCTCACTGCTAACTGAATGGTAACAGCACCCCACCTCTCAGGATGGTTCTCCAGACTTAGGAGAGAACACATGAAAATGTCGTGTACCATTCACTGGGTGCTTGCCAGGAGCCAGGTACTACATGTGTATCCACTCAGCCCCTAATATTTTAAAGACATTATTAGTATGCTCACACTATATACTTACATCACTTTGAGAATGCATATGACAGCATCTCCTTTTGACACCCCTCCACTTCTTTTGCAGATTCCTTTTCTCTCTCCACAATGTCTACCTCCCTGTTTCCTACCAAACCTCTTTACTTTTACTCTTTAAATTATATTTTGGGCTTTTCATATAAGAGAAACCATGTAACAGCTAACCTTCGAGGTCTGAATTTATTTCACTTAGCGTAACCTTACCAGGAAGGTACCAATGACTATTACCTACGCCAGGAGTTCTCCAGGGGGAGTTTTATTATCCAGAGGACATTTGGCAGTAAGATATTTTTGAGTATCATGATCTATAAAGGGAGAAGGGATGTTACAGACATCTGCTGGGGAGGGGCCAGGGATGCTGCTAAATATTCTGCAATCTAATAGGCCAGGCCCCCGAGGTACTTAATTACATGAGCCAAATGACAACAGTGCCAAGGTCAGGAAACCAGGAGCTCAAATGAGTGAGCAGTACAAAACTAGGAGTTTTCAGATGACTAATCTAAAACCCAGACAGGCGATACAACACACCTTAGGACACTGCCCTAAAAGGAGAGGAACTTGCAAAAAGCTTACTCCCTACCCCTTCCTTAGTAAAGCTGTATTAATAAAATAAAATGTTATATTCCATTCTGCCTTTTTTTTTTTTTTTTTTTTGCGATACCACGGATTGAACTCAGGACCTTGCACTTGCCAGGCAAACGCTTATTCTACTGAGCTATCTCCCCGGGCCATATGCCCCATTCATCAAGGGCAAACAATCTGGCCCAAGTTAAGGAAGTCTGCTTTATTCTAAAGCACTAACTTTTAATAAATGCATTTTAAGATAAGCAATATGAAGTAGCTCTACAAAAGAGCATCTTTCCTGATTAATGGAAATATTTAAGCACACTTTAAAGAAAACAAAACCTAAGTTTTCTTAAAAGAACAAATTAATACTTGTAACAGCTACTCCATTTGTTATACTTGCCTCATCTAGTGGGTCCACATCCATTTTCCTCATCTTAATAAGTGTATCATACGCCTGCTGAAGCGCTCTGGCCTTAGGATGAGAAACTCTAACGTAGGCTGGGAGACAAATGAACCATAAACTGTAACAGTGGCTGAACAGACACTTTGCCCACTGTGGTGGATTTGTATAACACCTCTCTGCCAATTTATGAGCCGTTTTTATCTCCTAGAAAAAGAATAAAAAGAACATTACAGTATCTAATATAATCCATCATGGGTGGAGGAAGAAAAATTTAATGTAAATTTGATCCTAAAATCAAGCATTTCAGTTTTATAAGTATGTCCCTGCTTAGTATTACATGGTTCCCTAAATATTTCTTTACTGAAATACTACTTTGTACTATTCAACAACTATTTGTTCATAACTGTGTCTTTGAATAGATTAATAATTTAAGAGTAAATATCACTAACAATTTTATAATATAATAATTAGATTCTTTTCCTACAGAAGGCCCTCATGTTTTTTGGTTTTGTTTTGTTCATATTTTGTGCAGGGCCTCACTACACAGCTCAGATTTGTAGGATCCTTGTTTTCAGCCTCCCCAGTGCTGGGACTATGGGCATGCGCCACCACGCGTGGGCTGGCCCTCATGTTTGATAAGTAAAAAGATAACTAAAGTCATATACCTGAACTTACTCATTCATGGTTAATCAGTTCTACTATCCTACTTTTTTTTTTTTTGGGGGGGGTCACTTTGAGGTAGGGTCTCCCTATGCAGGTCAGTCTGGCCGTGAACTCACACACTAGTCCTGGCTAGCCTCAAACTAAAGGCAATCCTGCCTCAGTCATCCAACTGCTAAGACCCCGGCATGTGCCACCACATGCAACTACCACCCTAATCCTGAAAAGCAATGTTCTTACTCTTCTCTCTGCTCAAGTTCGAGACATCCTAGGACACTGCTTGCCAAGATTTTCACTCCTCATATCACCACCCCCTTCTGCCCTCCACAGGCCAGAATGAGCTAATTTTGTACTTCTGGAAGACTTAGTCCTTTGTGGTCACAGAGTATCAGGATAATTACTCACCTTCTACTAGCTTGACAATCATGCTTTCTATTTTTGATTTTCATTGTGGCTGAGTGGAGGAAAGATTAGGTAGCCAAATCATTTGGTGATAATTTATTTTGCTGTATACTCAGAGAAATAAATGTCAGAGTATACCAGAATTGTACTGTGTTCCTTACACTACAGACTGAGCTACCAAGATGTACTCCTAATTGGAATGCATTGGTATATTAACTTTCTTTTCTAATTCCATGAGATTTGAAGATACATTTAAATCATAGGCCCTTGTTTTTCTAAGACCTAAAGTTCCTTTTCTTCCCCTGCTAGCTCAGGGGGAAGAAATCACTCCTTGTGCAATCAGTACTGACTGGCATAACAGTGGCCAGAATGAAGTTTAGCCCTTTGTGACTTCATGAATTGTGACTTCAATACATTTCCATGCACCTTCCCATGTTTGTGGAAGGTCATGTCTTCCCCTTTTTCCAAAAAGCAGAAACAGAAGTACAGCATTTGATCTATGCCTACCTAACAGGACTGTAATGTTCAGGTTGTACAATATAAAAGGTCAGCAGACTGGCAAGTTAGTCCAGATTTACAAGAAGAAATGCATCATCTCCACTGAGCGGGCACAGCAGAAAGGACTAATGGCATCACTGGCTGTGCACACTTTCTCTAGCAAAGTGGTTACACAGGCTAAACCTCAGCAGTGAGAACAAAGAGATCCTGGAACTGAAAGCCAAATCTTGCCAGACAGAAAAGGAAAAGAGCAAATAAAAGAAACAACTCAGAAAAATGCAGGAGAAAGTAGCTTTATATACAGCTTGTATTAAAAACTAGTCAAATGGGGGGGGGGAGGGAGCCAGGGAGATGGCTCAGTGGAATAAGCGCTTCCCTGGCAAGCACAAGGGCCTGAGTTCAATCCCCCGTTCTGCAAAAAAAAAAAAAAAAGCCTGCCCAAAATGAGATTTTAGAGACTGAACAGTAAAATTATCCCATTTTAGAAAACTGTCTTCATTAAACAGGCCATAGGGCTGGGGAGATAGCTCAGCAGTCTAAGCACCTGCCTGACAAGCTCAAGGAACACCAGGTACCCCAGTGCCAGCCACCAAAACTAGGTTTTGTGCGTGCATGTAATCCTAGCACTGGGGAGGCTAAAACAGGAGGATCACTGCAAGTCTGAGCTGGTAGCGAGACCCTGTACCAAGTAAGTAAGTAAGTAAAGAAAGAAAGAAAGAAAGAAAGCATTTTGCAGATAGCTAATTAGATGAAATAAGATGCTCCATACGTAGTCATTAGGAAGGTACAAATAAAAGCGACAGTGAAATGCTAAAAACCCATCAGGATGGTTTTTATTTATTTATTCAGTAATTTCATTTTTAATGTTTTCAGCCTCCCCAGTGCTGGGGTTTCAGGCATGTGTGCCGTGCCTGGTCTCTGTGGCTAACTCAGCATTTCTGGGGGCAGGGGTGTCGTGGCATGTGGTGCCGGGGATTGGACCCCAGTCCCTAGTCGGGCTCTTAGTCTGCTGAGCTGACTTGTTGGCCCATAGGATGGTTCTGAAAAATAAGCAATAAAATCCAGGATAAGAACTCCTGTGGATGTGGAGAGTGTTGCTGCCCTGCAGTGATGCAAATGGGGTGTGAAGAGCGCTCCTGCCGCAGGCCAGCTGGCAGTTCCTCCAGCAGGTGGACGCAGCGGCGGCAGCAGCAGCGCTGTTGTGTGATCCGGCAGGCCTGACCCCAGGTACGATATGCCCAGCGGAATAAAATAAAATAGGCCATAATTTTTTAGATAGTGTCTGACATGGTGGTGCATGCCTGTTATCCCAGCACTTGGGAAGCTGAGGCAGGAGGATCACTCTGAGTTCAAGGCCAACCAAGGCTACAAAGAGAGTTCAAGGTGAGCCTGAACCGCATACTAAAACCTTGTCTCAAAAAAAAAAAAAAAGGCAGGGGCTGGAGATATAGCTTAGCAGCACAAATGCCTGCTTGGCAAGCACAAGGTCCTGAGCTTGATTTCTAGTAAAAAAAAAAAAAAAAAAATTAATTCTTTAGTTTCCTCCTCATTGAAAAAACATACACTATATGAAATTACAGAATATTTCAGTTTCCTCTAGGATTTAGGAGACCACCCAAGAATTCTAAAACCTACAGATTTCATCCTGAAATTTTCCATGTTTGGAAGAACCTCAAAATGCCAGCATGTGTGTAAAAGATGTTTAAGGGAAACACAAAGCTTAATTCTCTATGTACAGCTCAGGTAACAGCAGTAACCATGGTACGTAGCAGGCCTACGCTACCTCCCTTCCAGAGTCTGTAAAATGCAAGAACTGAGGTGTGCAGTATGTTTTCATGTTAGCTGCAGGAAAACCCCAGTCAAAGCCTAAGACACCTCACCTCCTGGCCACTAGCTGGCTGCAATCAAAAGGACAGAATTCTCATATGCTGGAATGTAAGTGGTGCAGCCACTTCAGAGAACATACGTTCCACATGACAGAGCAATTCTACTCTAAGATAATCCTCCATGGAAGTGATAACATACATCCACACAAACACTTGTACAAAAATGTTCAGAGCAGCATTATTCACAATAGCTGAAATGCAGGAATCACCCACTACCCTGTGAATAAAGAAAATGTGGTGTATCTATACAATGGAATATTATTCAGCAAGAAATGAAGAACTGACACATGCTATAAAGTAGAGGAACCTTGAAAACATTATGCTAAGCCAAAGAAGCCAATTACAAAGGAAGACATCTAGTACAGTTCTACCTACAAAATGCCTAGAACAGACAAAGCTGTGGAGAAACAAAACATATGACCAGCTCTCTAAGGTTGTGGGGCACAGAAGTTACAGGGGTTCATGGCTCAAGAATTTGGCTTCATTTCTAGGTAATGAAAATGTTCTGAACTTCACCGCGGCTCCTAGGTGAGATGACCTATAGTGCCAGCACCTGGGGTGGAGGCAGGACAGCAGTGAGTTCCAGACTGGCTGGGGATATTCATGGCCAGCCTGAACCACATAGCAAAGCCTGTTTCAAACAAAGAAGCAAGCAAGCAAGCAAGCAAACAAACAAAATTAACTGTGGTGGTGATGTGTGGATACACCACATGCCACTGCATCATATACTTTAAATGGATAAATTTATGGTATGTGAATTATAACCCAATAAAGCTTTTAAAAAATATATCTAGTTCCCAAAGATTCCTTAAAGCATAACCATTTGCTTTAAAAGCTTCATCCTCAATATTTTAAAGAGGGGTGCTAGAAATCTAGTTAAAATCTGGAAAAATCAAAATGGGTTTTCAAGTGGTGGCAGTGGTTGATTAATTCTATATTATAAATTCATAAGCACATATACATAGTTCACATTCTAAGTAGACATGTATTAGATAAAGCATATCTGACCTGTTTAGTTCTTTTTGCCATGAAAGCTGGACTGTTTGTAACGCTACTCCCAGTAGGGTGTCTACTAAAACAAAGTTTCAACTCCTGTGGTCTGTCAAAAAGTTTAAGATCCAGTCTTGGAAAGTATTTGTAACTAAAATAAAAAGCAAAACACAGAACTGCTGATTTTAAAATACATTAACTTTACATATTATTTCAGCACTTAAGTATTTCTAAACCTGAAATAGTAACCAGTATTATTCTTTAAAGTCTTTAGATTTTTCAAAAATTTATTAAGTCTATTCACAAACTAGCTACAGACACCCTGACTTCTCCCCATCCTCTTTGTTATTTTCAACCAATATCTAGAAAACAAATCCTTCACATCTTACTTAACAGTAATTAATAACTCAACAAAATCCATGTGTTTAGTAATAATATGTATTAAATAAAATATTTAATACAGTTTATGTTGACATTTCTGACAAAATTCTGCTTTTTAAAAAAATTTTGTTTTGTTTTATAAGACCGCATCTCATCATGCAGTTCAGGTTGGCCTTGAATTCTTTATGTAGATCAAGCTGGCCTTGAACTCACAGCAATCCTCCCGCCCGAGGGCTGGGATGCTAAGCAAAAGAAAATTATGTTTTTTATGTAAAGTTATGTTGAATTGATATTTAAAAGAAAAACAATGCATTATTATTTTGGGGACACACTATATAATTTAACCAATTTCTTACTCCTGGACATTATTATGTTATTTCTGAACTTCTGTAATTAAATATCTTTATATGCATATTTAAGTCAATGTTTATCAAGAGAATTAAAATTATAATCACTATGAAATTATGTCCAGCTGATTCTATTTAACAAATATTTCACTTGGTAACGTAACCTGTCTTCATAGAGATAAGTTAAAAATGCTTCTCTCCTTATCAGTTTGGTCTTCACTTTTTTAAATACTAGAAAAATTGAGTATGTATTCATATTATAGATTTTGGTTTTCTTCTTGGAAATTGTTCATTTATTTTCTTTGGCCAATTAACCTTGTTCAATTTTACCGTGTTTCAATACCAAATTGTAACTTTGGTTTTTGGGGGGTTTTTTGTTATTGTTCTTTTGAGACAAGGTCTTCCTATGTAGCAGTTCAGGCTGGCCATCCAACTGGGGCAATCCTGTCTCAGCCTCCTGAGTGCTGGGATTAAAGGCACGAGACACCTTGTCTGGCTCCAAATTGTAACTTTAAAAAGCTAAAGCAAAGTTAAAAAAAAAAAAAAAAAAATATATATAT